GAATAGTGAAAGAACAAATAGGACAAAATATTTTTGAAGTGTGATAAAAGTAAATTACTTCAAAAAACAGTGGGTTATGTTTTACTTTTTGTGTATATGTAGAAATATGAAAAGAGCAATGTAAGGAAAACCCTTGGATTTTATGAAGTCATGTCACAGATTTCAGAGAAGGTGAATAAATTGGTAAGTACACAAAATACTAATATGGAAGTTAAAATACGTTTGTTTGTTTTTCTACATTAACACAAGATTTTTTACAACAAGCTGATTGAATTAGAATTTTAAGAGGAAGTTAGAAAGTTAGATATGATTGGTATTACCAGGTTTTGGTTAAAAGATGAAAAATACTTTTTCTTTTGTAGAGACTGTGTCAATAAAACATGGTAGGAATATTGTTTGTAGGAAATTTTAAGTAAGAGAAGTGATATATCTCAAACAAGAAAAATATTGGATGTTTCAGCAGACATTTCTGAAACAATGTGGAAAAAAAATGTACTCGCATTTTGATAGCAAATCAGGTTTTTGACAATGGTAACAATTAGTTTTATGCATAATTTAAGGAAAACAAAGGACCAGTTGCTCCATCTAGATCATTCCATCTATTATGCTAAACTAAAATAAAACACTCAAAGCCAGTCATTTTCAAATATTTATCAAGCCTTCCCTTAAACTCCTGAAATTAACTACATCTACCACATCTGAAGGCAACCTGTTTAAAAGGCTAACCACCCTGTTAGAAAAATAAAGCTGTCTTAGTTGAAGATGATTGCTACCCTGCAAAAATGTAAATTTACATCCCCTAGTCTTGCCATTCTTACAATTAAATAAGAAAAGAGATGATGCTTCAACACTATCAATTCCTTTAACAGTCTTAAACTTCTCAATAAGATCACTCCTAACACTTCTTTTTTGTAGGGGTGGGGGATAACTTTAATACTAGTTGTTCCAGTGGTAGGGCAAATAGGATTTTAGGTTGTATCTTCAGAAATGTTGAATACAAATCTGAAGAGTTTATCATTTCATTGTATCGGCCATCTATTAGGCCACATGTGGAGTATTGTGTTCAATCTTTGGTGCCTCGCTTCAGGAAGGACAATGAATTGTTAAAATGGGTTCATACTTTATGGTGAGAATGGTAGGACTAGGAGACAAAAATATAAATTCTGGCAGAGCAATCTTCACCTAAAACAGTTTTATTTTTCCAACAGGGTGGTTGGCCTTTGGAATGTGTTGCCTTCAGATTTGAGTGAAAATTCTAAGGTGACAAAAAGTTTTACAAAAAATATTGCTCTTGTTACAATGGAGTACCTCAGGTCTATTTTAGGAGCTTTGCTCTTTGTTAATTATACAGATATATATGAAGGAATTGTCAAAAATTTGCTGATGATATTAAAGCCTTGAGTGTTGTAAGCTGTGAGAAGGATGCAGCTGCTTTACAAAATGATTTATACTATTTGGTGAGTTGGACAACTAAATGCAAGATAATGCATGTGGGTTATAATAATTTAAATTATAAGTATAATTTTAATGAGAATAACCTTAACAGTGTTATGGAAAAAAGGAACTTGATGTTCTGGTTGATCAGTCTCTTAAGCCACTTAAGTATTTTGCTGTTGTTAATGGTAGTAGTAGGGTAAACAGGATTTTAGATTATATCAACACACACATATACTGAGTATGTCAAAAGATGGTATAATTTCATTGTATTAGGTAACATTTTGAGTATTTTGTTCAATTTTGGGCTCCTTACCTTGGAAAAGACATTGAATTGTTCGAAAAGGTTTACAGGAGGGTTGCAAGGATAATACCTGGGATACAAAGGTTGTCATATG